ATCGATGGGTACCAAAATCGATGTTATCTGACTTTTGGTTCGGGAGTTATGATTTTTCGTATGTTCATTGAACTTAGAAAATTACGTAGTTCMGTGGACTTTTAGTTTTCGTTCCATCACTACAAAACTCGATATCCTGGTATTTTGGTATACGACGATCCAAAAAGGGTATATGTTAGAAATGCGTATGACCATTATTCCGCCCGTAATAGGGGTAGAAAAAAGTTGAAAAACGTATCAAGTGATTTTTTGTATAGGTACCTACCCAAACATTTCCTTATGGTATACGTTCATTTAACGTTTGACTTATTATATTATTTTTTACTTTTTTTTCGTATTTAGTTATTTAAAGTTTTGTCCTTAGGTCAATGCTGTTAGTTTGTTTGATTTTGTAGTACCAAGTCGTTTTTAAAATGTGAACATTTTGAATACGAGCATTTTGTTCGTGTTTTTTTTTATCATTATGTTATAGTTTATTTCGGTTTTTGGACGACCAGTGCTCGGGCACTTTTCGACTTATAAGTCTGGTTTTTTCTACTGTGGATAGCTAATTTAGTTAACTTTCCATAGATACTGGAACAACAGCTAACCTCACTATGGTAGGCGATTTTCTGTGCAAAAAACGCGTAAAAAGTGAAATTTTGAGTTCAAATACCTAGTCATTGTTTTTATTTTTTCGTGTTTATAGTTAGGTTATGGTTATCGAAAAATGTAAGGGTATGTAAGTGTCAAGTGAGCTTTGACACCAATGTATAAATGTGAACATTATTTTAAAAATGAAATTTTAATACATTGTTTAAGATTTTTTGGATTGCACTTATATGTTGAGAACTAGCACGTACCACCATCAACCTGCCACCTATATGTTCGTCATATATAATATACAGATCATATTTTATAAAACAATACAACAAAATAGAATCAAGTTATAAATATCATATAAAATAGGTACGTAATTCTCAAAGATCAGAATATGTCTGGAAAATGTCCCAGGAAATAATATGTCTAGGGGGGGGCTGGGCCCCGAGCCCCCCTTGATTCCGTCCCTGTCATATAATAATGAAACACATTATTATTTAATTTATTTTATTATTTTTATTATTATTAAAGCTATTGAAGAGTTATTATTCAACAAATAATATTGCTTTCGTGTATTTATAAAATGATTTACCCAGTCATATCACAAAGTAACACTAATGCAATGTTATTTCTGCGATGTCATATTTTATCATGGGTTTTTACGCCATCGCGTGACCATTATTGTTATCAGAAGTATGTTTATATTTATAAATTTAATAAATATTTATATTTATAAATATCACCCATCAATGATGAGCGGCGGCCAGCGACAACGATCGCCGACGAACGAGGAGCGACGACACACACAACGACACAACCTTGCTGCAGACTGACGACTGCAGTATTCACTTTTCACTTTTTCACTATTATATCTTTTGTATTAGCTTTTGCCGTTGGTGTTCTTTTACTTTATTGTGATCATTGTTCAGTGTAATAATACTTTGTTTTATTTAACCCTAAGAATTCTTGCCATCAAAAAATAATGGCGTTAATTAAACAGGTAAATATTTAAATTTGTACTAACGTTTTAGAGGACGCTATACGATATATGTGTTTTCTTTGTCTTACAAACGTACAGCGAGATACAGAAAATGTGCGTTAATCAAAATCGTAGTGTGTTGTGATTGTGAAATGTTTGAATATAAGAATACCTAAATTTATCTATCAACAAATTAAAAGGTACTAACATCATCTGCTCTTAAGCGTCGTGTTTCTTTTCGATTTTTAAATTTTTATGTGAGATGAGAATTTTTAATTAGTGATATTTCACACTTCTTTTTTTAAAAAATATTGAATAAAAGCCGACGCACAGATTATGTTCTTACCTTTAAGTTTGATAACATTTCAACCCATTCCAATATTAAAAGTAATATAACACAAAACACAATCGATTCTGATGAATGTAAATTTGCTAAATCGTTGCTACCTAGTACCTACCTACGTTATTGTAAGCAAGACAACACAATAATGTTTGGATAACGTCCTCTCAACTAGCCAATGGGAACTACAATAGATATTTGTTTTCTATTATTTTATTATATATATGTAGTGCTTACTGTAATAATTATAATGTATTTTCCTATATTTTTAGAGACGTGCATGGGTTATTGCTTTATTTGTTGAATCCCAAACATACAGTGTGATACCAACAACTTGGGTTTTCCAATTAACCGATGATTTTGGTAAGATAACAATATTTTGTAAATGGCCACCTGGATTGGATCAGGATGTTACAAGTGAAACCATAAAGAATACAACCGTCCCAACAGATGATTGGTCTTCATATAAAATTCGTATGTTGGATAATGGTAAAGAATACTGTAAGTATTGCAAAATAAAATATTTATCAAATTATTGTATACAAGTATCTAGGTATATAAACTGCTGTGGAGTGACCCTACCATGTAACCGGGGAATTGTCTGGTGGCTTGGTTTATTTAATCAAAGAGTAACCAGTTGTTCAGATCCAGATATTTTGTAAATTTTTATGGTGATAAATTGAGTGTTTTGTTTTGTAGTTGGTTGAAACTAAAAATAAATGTTAGACACATATAATTATATAAGACATAGTATGTTACATGTATAAGGTATTATACAAAATATACCTCCGAGCAGAATCATTTTTCATTTTTATCGTTGGATTCAAATTTAACGTATCCAATGCTCCATTACAGCAACTTACTCAATGACACTAGGTAGTAGGTACTTACTTCTATACAGCAAAATGACTTCTCCAGTTTTTCTTTTTGTCAGTAAGAATTAAAACTTATTAATAATATAATATAATTCATTAATATAATGTATAATATATTAATATATTAATATAATTAAAAATTATTGTTTAAACCAATGCTTAAATTGAACATTAAAATAAACAATAATAATAGGTACCTATAACATTTTAATTATATTAATATATTAATATAATTAAAAATTATTGTTTAAACCAATGCTTAAATTGAACATTAAAATAAACAATAATAATAGGTACCTATAACATTTTAATTACTCATAATCGTATATCAATACCAACTAGTTAGGGTAAAATTGAAAAGTGGATTGTAATACCTATATGTTTGCTTGACATGCAATTTACATCCACTCTGCCACTGTAGCCATGTATATAAAATAAATAAATAAAAATACTTCTTAAAGGTATGTCTAACATAATTTATCTATATTATTTTAAATTATCATTTAGATAACTTCAGTAAAGCATGGCATAAGAAGATTGATTATGTTAAATCTGCAACTGAAAGTGAAGATGGTCCTACAAGTTCAAAAAAATCCAAAGTTAATTTTATACCAGACTCTGAAAGTGAAATTGAAGGCAAGTACTTTTTACTAAAATTAAAATTCTTATATATATTTATAGTATTTAAAATATAATATATGTATAAAAGTAAAATTCATATAGTATATATGAGCATATATGCTCTATAGGCGTGTGCAGAATTTTTGAAACATCGCTTGAATATCTATGGAATATGACTTTGCACACTGGGTAGGTTTAGGTCTTGATCATATTATTATCATCAT